CTCCCAACTAGTTAGTTATCTCATTCGGCACTGACCTTCCCCGGAGCCATGCAATTGATTTATAACTTTTCATATAAACGATACTCGTGTTGTCTAGTGATTCATTTAATTTCTCACTTTACAGTATATTAACGTTTTTATACATTGTTACTATCAATAATTTACTCGCAGTGTCATTATTGATGGTACTATCAGTCGGTTCATCTAATTTCCACAATGCGATATAGTTACGACTTTTGCCAGCATTTTCTTGATAGAAGATTTTATAATTATATCATTTATGTGGACTTTTCCATAGTCGTATAGCCCTTAACTAAAATTTCGGACATCCTTATAGCTCCATTCAGCTTACACGGCCCTAATTTAAACGCCGTATTATAATATGCAACAATAAATGGACGGACAAGATGTGTGGTATTCAATCTTAAATCTGAAATTGCACATACCAGGTTATTTATTGATGATACAGGTTTATAATGATTTTTTGTACAATTTTTGTTTTGAACTAATTCAGAAATAAACAAAAAAAACTCCATAAAATCTCTGTATTGTGTGACATAACATACGACAAGAATATTCCTGATTTGTTTAATCTAACCTAACACAGTGATCACTCCATTTGGTAGATAGTAATGAATCGATTTTTCCCCCCCAAAAATAAATTGTAAATTAAACACATTTAAGAAGTGGCTGGGGACAAGAGGGCTGGTTCTTTTCTCGCTCAAAGGTTAAGCATAACTATTCAGCGAGATTCACACAATGCCACATGGACTAGGTTTATTTGATAATATGTATATTGTAAATAAAAGACGATTAAGATTAAAAAAAGTTCAGAAGACAATATGACGCTTAGACATCTACATCTTCTTACGAAATAGACTTTATGACATCGTGGTGTAGATGAGAGAGAATTTTGATATCACATGTGGCATACTATTCTTTAAAACAAAGTTGACAGCCAGGCGTTTCGTAATTTATATTTGCTCTTAGGAACGTTAAAATCTACTATAGGTTCCAAAATTTCAAATGTTAGTTGTTGGAAAAGAATGTGCGCAGCCGTTTACATACATTTTATGACATGCACTATTACCCTATAAAATATATGTATTAAGGACATGTATTATGTCACATAATACATATATCTTATCTTGGCTTAGGTAAGCTAATCAGGAGTATAATTATTGCGCCGTCTAGCGAAACGTATCAAAATATATTTTCAGGATTTAACATATGATTTGATAGGTTACTGAATGGCGATTTATGGACTAACTTCATGTTATCAGGTTTATTTTGATTTTTATTTAGTTAAACTAAATAAGTTTAAGTTCTTAAACACATGCACGTTTGTTTTGTGTTAATAATGTGCACCTTGAGTATTTAAACTATTAATTTTATTACTTTATTTGTGTCCGCACAACACTGAGTAGAGAACGGGTAAGAATTTAACCGATTCCCAGCAAGCGCTCTTGAGCCCGGCTCATCCCTGGCAAAAATAGTGAAGAATTTCTCCACGGGTCCGCAAAGCTCTTGGAAAGATTAAGGACCCCCGGATTTATTGCGTAACAAATTCAAATACGTGTAATTTTATTCAATAGAGCTCGGAACGGATGCGAGGTCTGTGAAAAAAAAGCAGTCGCTCTTTGTTTTGCAATTTCCATCTCTATTCAATGACGTTAAGTGTTAAATATGCAAAGGAACGTCGCAGAAGTCTATTGACTCGATGTAGACGTACGTTAGTTGTAATTTAAAACATAAACTCGAAATAAAATCGTCGCGTGTAATCTTCGCAACATACGCGGGGTTAATGAATTTTGTATTGATGTTATCTTGTCTGATAATTTTGTTTTGCAAATACCTGTGGTTACTAGTTTAAACATAAATGCCCAGTGTAATAATATGATGGGACGATTATGAAAGGGATGTACTGTCCATAAATATTAGGAGAGACGAGTTGTAAGAAATGCCAACTTCAAATTACTGTTGAATCAGTATTAGATGAACCTGGGTCCTGTTGGGTCTACTTTGTTTAAATTTCACCGAAAAAAAGACGTAAAAGTTCTTTTTTTTATTTAAATTAAAACATTGCCCTTAATTTAGGATAACATTATCCTGTGTTGTAAGAACATTTTACAAACATAAATTTCACACGGACAATCACACAGATGCGAAACACTATCTGTGGGTCACACAAATAGTTATCTCGTGTGGGAATCAAACCCACGACCCCCGACGCCGAAGCAGATACCTTGGCGACTGCGCCACGGAGTCATCAAAGTAGCGACAGCATCACGTATAAGTTATGTAATTCATTATGAGTTTTAGTATTTTGTAATAAGCAAAGAACTCCCACAGATGTTAAGAAATGAAAATTTTCTGGACTGGATTGAGATGAAAAAGAAGAAGAAGAAAATTTAGAAACACTAAAATTTAAGAACAGCGTCTAACTTGAGATCTTAACAATTGGCTCAATTGATGACCATTCGCCAATCGTATAGAATGTGTGTTGACAGACATTGAAAAGGATAGTATTAAAATTCTAACTTAGATACAAAATGAGCTATGCATGTAATTACCAAACGAAAGCAGAGAATACGATAAAATAACGCACTTGTCTGGTTGCATGAGTAACTAGATTGGATCTCAACATAATGGTGAGCATATATCATGCATGCACTTTCACAACGACATTGTCGGACGGATGCTCGTAAAGGCAATTGATTATATTTTTATCCCATGAACCAGTCGCGTTGGTGTTCTTGATTGGATCCGGTTTAACGGATCAGCTTTTATGCATTATTCTCACGCTACGCCTAGCAGGAAGTGTTTACTGTGATAGAGCCACGTAGAGACTTGCCGTGCGCTTAATAAGTGTGCGGGAAGTCGATGGATGCAGGTGGCTCAGGATCGCGCTTCTGTGGCTGTTGGGAAGTATGGTCAGTAGTCGACTCAAACAACCTGAAATGATGATGATGATGAAGATAAATAAGCAACATACTGTGGTAGAGCCTGGCTGGGCTTGTAGAATCTATGTAGAAGTCGATGGAATGTGTGGCTTTTCTAAAGGTGCCCAAATTCACACATGAGGTTCAGACTGGATAGTATAATAGTTTCTTGAAATATAAATACCATTACCTCTATTTACCATTTGGATACAGAACCCTAAAAATGTTTTTTATTTCATCAGAGAAACACGTGATTTAGTGTTTTTAAATCTACGTAGAAGTCGATGGAATGTGTGGGTTTATAGGGGTTCATTTCGAGAATACGATCACAGAAAATACCACAGGCAAATTTTTCTTACGTGCTGAAATTGGAAGAATATATAAATGCGTAATGAGTTTTTTTTTTCCTTTTAATAGAACAAAAACTTGTGAGAGCTTCAATTTGAGTTACAACAAAAGCAAACAACAAAAACCTTTGCGTTATCTATATCCATTTCCATATTTTTTGTTTTTAGATTGCGTAAACTGCTTCAGATTGTGTTTAAAATCTGTTCAACTACAAACGGAACGCAAGGTCAAGCTCTTGTTTATTAGGAATAAAACAATAAAAGGCCAAGTGTGAGTCGGACTCACGCGTAAAGGTTTCCGTACATTATATATAAAAACGGCAAACAATCATGTCAATTGTATGTTTTATTCTATTTTTTAATATTTGTTGTTATAGCGGCAACAGAAATACATTATCTGAGAAAATTTCAACTGTCCAACTAAAACGGTTCGTGTGATACAGCCTGGTGACAGACGGACAGACAGACAGACAGTGAAGTCTTAGTAATAGGGTCCCGTTTTACCCTTTGGGTACGGAACCCAAACAAAAAAAAAAATTAATAAATCTAAAACAGTGATGCATAAGGTTCGTGGAGTTAAATTTCAGTTTTTATTCCTTTCAAAGTTTTTGTCTGTAAGAAATTCAAAAATATTTGATATGAAACAAAAATCAATACGGTTTATTTCTTTAAGGAGCTGGGATTACTTTGCCATGCAGACCTGCAAATCTCATGTGGTGTTCCTCGTATTATTGAAAATTGTGTGACTAGATAATGTCGAGCCGCCAAGGAGATCGAATATTATTCGCAATTAGCATTTATTGTATCAAAATAATGTTTTAGTAGTTAAATACTAGTTAAATCTATTGTCATCTAGTTGCGAGCAGGCAGGAATCTTTTCGGGATATGTAATTTAAAACAGATGTAGTGAGTTTAATATACGGAAAGTTTGTGTGGATTTATGGATATGAGTCAAAAGACGTTAAGTTACAGCCTATATATCCCACTGCCTGACAAAGGCCACCTCTGTACAGGGTATCGTTTATAATCTATACCTAATAATCTAGGTTCCAGTTTATGTGTGTGTAAACCACATATTGCGTTTACAAAATGTTATAAGTTTTATACAGGTATCTCAATTTTTTAAGCCTATATTTCTTTATTTTATTAGTGTATCTAATATAGAAAGATACTAAAGCAGATTAAATAACTTACAAAAGTTTTTATATATATTTTTTATTTGTTAGGAATAATATTTTATTCTATAATTTTCATTATCAGAATCCAAGATCTAACCTCGTAAAGAAGTGTCTCCATTTTCCAACACTGTTCTGATAGACTGGTGTCCACAAATTCCCTCCGTTTTGGCTGCCCATCACCGACTATTTTGGGTATTTTCACTCATCCTACTTAAAATACAAAGGATATGCATTCCTCACACCCATTGTAGCAATCGTCAATCATTCACACAAACAGACGTAACAAAATCTTGACCACTTACTTCAAAATGTTGCCCGCCGACTAGGACCCGTGGCGAAGCGAAATCCGAAATTCCCGACGAGTGCACACTATCACTACAATCCTAATCGCAGTCGCACTGAAATCGGTTATATTGGACGTGAAAAAAAAAACCAAAAAACCGGCACCACGCGAAAACCGACCTCCTAGACGAGTCGCACCGAAACCATCGGCAGCGTTCGGGCATAAATCACGCACACGCGTGCGCGGCTCAGCACGCGGCACGCACACACGTGCACCGCGTAGGGGGGTGTTTAGTTTTCGTATCACGGCCGCGCGAGCGCAGTTCGGGGAACGCGTGCGTGGCGTACGCGGCCGGCTGGCGCACTGTGCCCCCGCGTTTACTAGGGGCGACGAAATTTGGCGTCGTGGACGGATACGCGCCGCTTCCAGACCCCTGCGACGGATCTAGATTGCATGTAGCCTGGGAGTGTCTCATAGGGATGCTAAAAGCCCGTCCGTAACCTAACCTAAATTGCGTTAACATTGATGAATCCGCGGCGCAGTTGCGAAGGTATTGGCTTCGGCGACGGGGGTCGTGGGTTCGATTCCCACACGGGACAACTATTTGTGTGACCCACTGATAGTTGTTTCGCATCTGGGTGTTTGTCCACGTGAAATTTATGTTTGTAAAAACTTCCTTACAACACAAGATAATGTTATCCTAAAGTGAGGGCAATGTTTATAAAAAAAAAAAAAAAATTGGGACGTAGGCGTCTTGAAGTAAACAGTGAATTGGTATTTACTGAGCTAGCGCGCTTACCATCAACGGCTGCATCGCCACTTACCATCATGGGATGGTAGTCAAGTGCTGGCCAGTTTTGAATTAAAAAAAAAAAAGATTACGCAGAATTCGGATATGCAGTGATCCAGTGTAAGCTGTAAAAAATAGATGTGTACAGGTAGTGGTGTCGAACTAGCAGATTAGTTTTTTTGCAACTTAATGTTCTTGCCATTCTTTAGATAGCTGTGGTAGGACCACGCAACAGTCTTCACTGTAGCATGAATAAGCAGGTCCGTTTGGGAAAGTATTACGATCTCACAGAAGACTGGCGTGAGGTGGAAGTGTTATGCTTCTGCATTTCGTCTAAGTCAGGTAACCGTGGCAAACTTTATTAAAAGGTTTCAACGCATGTGCAACCCTACGGATGTTGCAAATGTCCATTGGCGGCGGTTATCACTTTACATCAGGTAAACCGCCAGATTGTTTACCATCTTCTCACTTTAAAAATACAATAATTGATAAAGATGTTAGCCCATTGAACTGACCGTAACATAAAAAGAGTTTACGATCTAGATGTATCGTAAACTCTTTAGATTTTATGGATGGCATACAGGTACCTATGTGACGACATAGCAAATCTACACTTGTTTTTTTATAAATATTGCTTCGACAAGTACTATCTCAGGTGGATCGTGATAGACATGGCAGTAAAAACATTGCCTCTTGCATGTACTGTGTTTGGAAGAAAGCCTGATGATGTGAATCATGTGACACGAAGAATAACGATCTTTATACATTAAAGGAAATGGGTTGGCCATATTGCTCGTAGATCTGATGGGAAAAATAGGTTCTCGAGTGGCAACTGCTTAGTCATCGTAGTGTAGAATGACCACCTGGACCCCACCTGTGCACATGTGTGTGAAAGTCGATGGATGCGGGTGGCGCTGGATCGTGCTTTGTTGCAGACTCCGGGAGAGGCTTACGTTCAGCAGTAGACTTTTTTTTTTATGTGAAAAGTTGCCAAACGAGCAGATGGTTCACCTGATGTTAAGTGAATACCACCGCCCATAGACATCTGCTATACCCGAGGGTTTGCAGATGCGTTGACAACCTTTTTGGAAATTGGGCTCCGGCTACCTCACTCACCAGACGAAACGCGAAAGTATTTGTCATACTACCACTTTACGCTGGTCTTCTGTGAGGTCGTGGTACTTACCCGGACGAGCCTGCCCATTCGTGCAACAGCCGAGGCTGCTGCGTGGCTCTACCACCGTCAACGCAGACAAAAACAGGCTGAAATGATGATGATCATGATATTTTAAGGTTGATGACTTACCTTTCTCAATATAGACAAGACCTCTATAGAAAGAGAAGAGTGAGTTATGGATATAAAAATGTGCACAATAATTATATATATCAGTAAATAAGAAACACTTGCCAAAGAAGTTTTCAGAAGTTAATTCGTAATACATTACCTGTTTTTACATTTAACGACATCCATTTTGGTCGAAATTATAAACATATATGGTTAATGGAGGCATTCAGGAAACATAATTCAGTTCTTCAACCTGCCCCCTTTCATTACATCCGTTCATTCGTTCTTTTATGAGTATGCATCGATGGTTCTTTTAAGTTTTATTCAGATTATATAAAAATATGAAGGTATTTAAATAAGTTACCTTTTTATTACACTGTGAGATAAATTTTTCTCGGTATATTCTCATTACAGAATCGCATTCGAACGGTGACAAGAGACAGTTAATAAATTGGTCCAAATATATAGTGTCAGTGAATATAGTGTTCTATAATATATAGTGCTAATATTATTTAGTTATTTGATCACAGAATTTTCAATAGTTTCTTTCCCTGCAGATAAATCAGTATGCTCCAGGTGTTGAATCCATAGCACACCTGTCACTTTCCGCCTTCCAGGCTCATAATTACGTGCGCTTTATTCTACTCGAGCGAAGATACGAACAAAGGATCTCTGCGGTTTCTGTCACGGGACGTAAACACGAATACTGAGGTCGAGCTCAGCGCACGGGAGCGGAACGAAAGCCAAATCGTCAATCCTCGCGAACTGTGTTTGCCCAGGCTACATTGGAGCTCCAAAGTATTTACGAACTAATTTCCTCCACGCCTTGGTAGGTTGACTTATAAAGAAGGAAAGAAGTAGTTGGCGGTTGAGTGGTCAGGCAAACAAATTAATTAAAAGATAAGTTCATAATTAAACAGATATAATATTAGCTATATGGATACATAATTAAATAGATTTGAAGTGTTTCAGACGCAAAATGTTCAAATATTACAAGTTTGCCAATGGTCACGTGGTATAAATGGGCGGGAAGAATGAAGTATTGAACTATTTGAAGTGGTGAACGAGTTAAAACATGAAAGTGTAGTAAGTATATTATAAAAGATGGATGGATTACGTGACAGATGGTACAGATGAGCGGAATGTATCGATATGTCAATCGAGATAAAAATAGAAGAAACGCAAGCACGGCACCGACTTTAAAAAAATGATACAAAGGTATAAGAATAAAAACAATGTAATTTACAGCTTGATATACTTTTATGAATATACTCCAAATTTTATATGAAGTTTTAATATTGCTAATCTCTGCACTTAAGATGAAACATTAAAATTAGTAGATTAAAAAAACAATGTAGATAAAATACGTTAAAATTTTCACCAGCGGTAAAACTGCTTAGTGGTAAATCGTGTGGCCGCGATTCCGGACGCGGGTTTTATTCCCGCGGTGGCGAAAAAATTCTACGTTACATTCATCCGTTTATTCCAAATTAATTCTACAATATCAAAACAAACTTCAGTTTGTGTTTTGGTTTCATGTGAATTTCATCAGTACGGAAAAAAATTATGGTTTGCATAAAATACCGGCCAAGTGCTTGTCAGACTCGCATGCGAAGGATTCTATCTAATCTATCTATAAAAACGGCTTAAAAATTATGTCTGTTATATGGGTGCCCCACTTAAATATTTTTTTATTCTGTTTTTTAGTATTTGTTATTATAGCGGCAGCAGAAATAGGTCATCTGTGTCAAAATCAACTTTCTATGACGGTTCATGAGATACAGCCCGGTGACATACCAGCAGACAGCGAAGTCTTAGTATTAGGGTCCCGTTTTACCCTTTGGATACGGAACCCTAGAAAACAACTCGAAATTATAATTTGAAGAAGAAATGAAACCCAGTACAGAGGGAGGTTGAATACAGATATTTAAATATCTACCCAGAGGGATTTACATGAAGAACGCCTACATATGTTCGGATATAACGTTGTAGCGAAGACATTGAGAACGGTTTTTTCCATTAAACTATATAACATTTTGTAAAGTAATGTTTTCTTGTATGTTTTATATACATATTTAATAAAGATAGAAGAGATGATACCCATATTTTTTTTCGATTTAAGCAAACATGGAACGGAAATAAAAATGATAGACAGCATTGCGTATTTTTATATATCGCAAACTATGAAGCTACATATAACGTTGCTAAACAAAATGAACGTGGTATAGGGAGTCTTTACAAGTCGATGGAGTTATTTTTGTTCACTCGCCCGGAAAAGGTGGCACTGAATGCACAATCCCGACTTCTAATTAGCACATGCGGGGGTCGATGGAATAAAGTAACTGTGCTCAACCGTTAATTAATATCATCGTAAGGCTGCGTCTCGAGCCGTTGGCTTCCATTACTGTCTGCTACAGAGTAGACGAACATCAGATATAAACTGGCGGGAAGCAAATCAAAAATGGATGAACGTGACAGGTGCTAACCAAACATCCAAACTTAAATGGAAAATGACTTGTAATAGACAGTAAAGTATTAGTACTAATACGGAGAAAAATGTACACTTAATGAATCCAACATAAACTTCTCTTGTTTAAATCTTTTATTCAGTATTACAACCATATAACTGTGGTAGGCCCACGCAACAGTCTTAGTTGTTGCACGAAGGGCAGGTCCGTCCGGTTAGGTAAGTACTACGACCACACAGAAGACTGGCGTGAAATGGAAGCGTTATAATACTGCGTGTCATCTGGTGAGTGAGGTAGCCGAGGCCCACTTTATTTAAAGATGGCAACACAACTGCTAGCCTACTGTTGCAAATGTCTACGGGGGGTGGTTATCACTTAACATCAGGTGAACCGTAAACTCGCTTGTCATCTACTCACATAAAAGAATAAAAAATCAGTGGAAATAGTTTCTTTATACTAAACGGTACTTGGTATAATTTCTCAATGAGACCATACTGTCTACGGAAGAAGGCGGTTCATAATGAGGTGGATGAGATTCGATTGATTGTAAAATACAAATATTACGCAACGTTAACTAGTCCAAAACTAAGAAAATAAAGAAAATAGTCTTCGTTCTCCTACTCTTTCTCCACAAAAGCTGTTGGCATAACATATTTTTTCCTTCCACTTTGCTCTTACAACGGCCAACTCAATAATTATTGGACTAGTGCTATCAGCCGAGCTGGACAGATCCAGACAGTCCGTAGAAATTTTCAAGGCCCAAAAACAACTGTATTTTGACGGTAACTATATAATTAGTCGATCTTATCCTTTAATTGCAATTAACAATTCAATCGGTGTCGGCGTCGGGAATTGAACTCAGACTTGCTCGAGTATACTAAATTAAAAGCGACCACCGTGAGCTGTCACGGCTAATAACATAATAAAAAACA